CACTGGGTCAGCCTGGGTGTTGTGTGTGTGTGCATGTCTGTCTGTCTGTCTGTCTGCCTGTCTGTCTGTCAGTCAGTAGGTCAGTCTGTCTGTCTGTTTGTCTGTTTGTCTGTTTGTCTGTCTGTCTGTATGTCTGTCTGTCAGACTTTCTGTGTGTCCATCCATTCATCCCTTACCCATCCACACATTCAACCACAGACATAATAAAATATGTCTATCATCACAAGAAACCACTCCAACTAAGCCCAGTACCGCATTACAACAAAGAATTTGACCCACCATTTTGTTGCAGAACTGTAGACAATGAAAATAACAATACTTTACTTTACTTTACTTTTATCCGCTGCTTATACCCTTTTGGGTGTCGCGGGGAGAAAGAGACGTCTCTCTGCCACCAGCCGGAGAGCTTGGGTCTGGGGGATGCCGTGAGTTGTTTATATAAAAGTTAATGTTGCCCTGACTCCAACTATCCAGGTCTTTCTCGGTCGCCCTCTAGTCTTGTGAAAATAACAGTAGGGCGACTAAAGTAGTTGTATTGTGTTGGTGGGGTAAGTTTCTCTTACAATTTTCAAAGTCCACAACTCACAGACAATATGTGAGGCAGCGTGGTGGAATCAGGCTCTTGTCAATTTTTGGACATGTAGAGTTATTGGTATCATCTTAAAGCTTGTTCACTTGTCTTTATTTTGATGAAAAAAATTTCCGTTTATCTTTAATACAAGTTGAGATATTTGCGAAAGAAGGAGGTGGGCTTCACTCGTTTTCAGAGGTAAAATTAGTGAGAAAATATCCACCAAAGATTAGTTATTTCCTTATCTTAAGAGTCTGTGGTAACTGAAAATTTATATTTTTTTGCGCCTTTAATCAAGGTTTATCAGAAAAATCCACACAGAAATGAGTTCTTTAATGGGCATGAAAGGTGTTGAGCCAAAAATTAAAATTTGATAAAAATTCACAAACTTGCGGAAAAATGCAAGTTTCTTCACTTTGATTATTTTGACGAGAGCCTGATTCCACCACGCTGCCTCACATATTATTATCGTTGGCAAACAATTTTGTGGTTTGTGCAGTGTTTGGCTGAAACATGACGTCTGACTAGTTAGGATTTAATCATGAATTATTGCACGTAGACGGGTCGGATAAACGAATAAATTTCCTCTTTGGGAGGTGGTGGCACAGAGTTCCCCACATCTTATGGATACGATTGTAAAACACGACGTACGTTAAATAATTGCTTTTCCACGTCCTTGATCCTTCCATATAATTTTTAAAAAATTAATTATTTAAATTTGAAAACTTAAAATATA